GAGTGTTAGTTTTTTATCCACGAAAGCTTATGCCCAAATAAATCTGTTAGTCTCTAAGGTGCCACTGGACTCCTTGTTGTTTCAAAAATAGAATGGTAATTGTAGATTTTTCTACAATTGTTGTATTCAAGAGATGGTAACAAAGTGACTAGTATCTTTCTTTGAGATGGTTTCAGAGCGGTAGCCCTGTTAGTCTGTATCAGCAAAAAGAACAGGAGTACTTGTGGCACCTTAGAGATTAACAAATTTATTTGGGCATAAGCTTTCGTAGGCTAAAACCCACTGGATGCATGCAGTGAACAATACGATAGGAAGATATATATACACAGAGAACGTGAAAAAATGGGTGTTGCCATACCAACTATAACGAGACTAATCAATTAAGGTGGGCTACTATCGGCAGGAGAAAAAAACTTTTGTAGCGATAATCAGGATGGCCCATTTCAAACAGTTGACAAGAAGGTGTGAGTAACAGTAGGGGGGAAATTAGCATGGGGAAATAGTTTTTTACTTTGTGTAAAGCCCACGAAAGCTTATGCCCAAATAAATGTGTTAGTCTCTAAGGTGCCACAAGTACTCCTCGTTCTTTTTTCTTTGAGATGGTAACTGATTTTTTTAGACAAAGGAAATGCAGTAGATCTAATCTACCTGGATGTCAGTAAGGCATTTGATACAGTCCCATGTGAGAAATTATTAGCTAAATTGGAGCAGACGGGGATTAATATGAGAACTGAAAGATGGATAAGGAACTGGTTAAAGGGAAGACTACAATGGGTCATACTGAAAGGTGAACTGTCAGGCTGGAGGGAGGTTACTAGTGGAGTTCCTCAGGGATCGGTCTTGGGACCAACCTTGTTTGACATTTTTATTACTGACTTTGGCACAAAAAGTGGGAGTGTGCTAATAAAATTTGCAGATGACACAAAGTTGTGAGGTTTTGCCAATACCGAGGAGGACTGGAATGCCATACAAGATCTGGATGACCGTGTAAACTGGAGTAATAGAAATGGGATAATATTTAATAGTGCAAAGTGCAAGGTCAGGCATTTAGAGACTAACAACAAGAATTTTTGCTGTGAGCTAGGGACTTAACAGTTGGAAGTGACAGTGGAGGAGAAAGAGCTGGTGTATTGGTTGATCACAGGATGACTATGAACCGTCAATGTGATGCATCTGTGAAAAAGGTTAATGGATGCATAAGGAGATTTCAGTTGCCTAGGGAGCCCCTCGAACCATGGTTAAAGTTGCTCAACCCCCCAAATCTGAAATGGTGCCCCTGTGCAGGCATGGAATTCCCCCTCTCCCCCACATGCAGCCCCGTTGGCCTGACTGGAGCCACCAAATACACACACACCAAATATAGACTGGTTAACCTGTCAAACTACGCCTATGTTAATGGCCCCTGGACCTGGGGAAAATCTGCCCCAGCACAGAGGTCTGGTATGGCTGTTTGGGAAAGGATCCTTTATGTATAGTGACCAGTAGGCTGGGAAGTCATTCTCTGTGCTACCGGGCTGGCAGCCTGAGCTCGGTTCCCTACTAGGTAGGGGAGCAGAACTCAGAATGACTGGTGCGGGGTGGGGATGTAAATATTGTTTAAAAAATTAACTGTTTAAACTATTAAAAAATATTTTCGTTTAAATGTTTAACCGATTAAAGGGAGAGGAGCTGGGGCTGCTCTGGCCGGCCGGCGCGGCTGGGGCTGGGGCAGATCCGGCCGGTGTGGCTGGGGCAGACCCGTCCGGCACGGCAGGGGGCTGCTGAGGTCAGGAGGCTCTGACCCTGTGTGTCTACATGCGCCAATGGGTAATACTGGGTTAGTAACCATGGCAGCTAACAGTGGTTAGCCCCTGCTAGAGGTCTAGGTTGGCCCGTGATTCTATCCCAAGCAGTCCGGCACACTGGGTTTTTCTGCAGTTCAGATGGGGCCCCCTGGCCAGGCCTTTGTAACTTGTTTGACTGAGCCACTGGCCTCCTGGCTCTCTGTGCGTGGGGATCTCCCAGAGTGCCTTGCTGTGCATGCTGCGCGTGCTGCTTTGTGTGCACGTCCCCGGCGTGCTCCCCCTGCTGATGCCTGCACTGATTCAAACGTGGTGCAGAGGGCTGATTCTTAGGTGTCGCCGTGAAAACAGAGTTGCGATGGCAGAAAGCTGTGGTGTGGACACAGACTGCGCTTGTAACCAGCTCAGGCAACTGTGTCTCTAAAAGGCACAGGACAGGGCTTAAAGCATCTTGCGTTGGTTGCAGGCAAGGACAGGTTACCAGACTGGACGGATCGCCAGGCTGTGTGAATGGCTCCTCCTGTGTCCTTACGTAAAACCAGAGCTCTGTTAAAAGTCATTCACCAAAATCAGTCAAATCTAATAAACCGGGATCAACACCCCTTTTCTGCAGGTGAATTTAGTGTAGACGAAAGGTGGCAGAGGGACAGCCCTGATAGCCGAAGTTCTGTATTTATCCTGCTAACTGGTTCAGCAGCAGCATTGCTAATACATCTCAGCCCTCAGCTGGTAGGGCACCCTGTAGGAGCAAAAGGGAGTTCATGTCCCAGTCTGTCCTTCTTGTCTCCTCTGCTGGGACAGCCGGCTAGAGGGGACCACTGGTGCAAATTATGATAGTGGTTTTGAGTCTGAAATGCTGAGCATGTATCACTCCATAGCTGCAAATCCACATGTTCCCGCTGATCTTGTCCTCTCTGTTTTTGTAGTGTATGCAGGCAACTGACGTGAAATTCACAAGCACGTCAAAGAGCATGAATCTTGTGAATTTCACTTTACTTCCAACACAGGAGCACAGAGCAAAATATACAGCAGTGGGAAAAGGAAAGGGAAGTGTTGTGTGTGCGAGCTCCGGACGCCCTTACGTGCATGGCTGTAATAGAAAACACAACAGATCTGGACATATTTTAGATTGTCAACCTTGACTGTAAATGATGGAGGAGAGAATCAATGGGTGTTGGGGTTTCATTTGGGCTCTAGAACTTTTTTGAATTGTTCTGAGTTTCCACTAAATTGTTCTGAATGTCTTGAAGTATTTCTCCCATTTAATTGAAGCCACTGTTTTTTTTCCACTGTTTTTTTTCGAAGGGGAATTTAATTTTTGAAAAGATGATTTTCTAGCTACCTGGAGGCCTGGGCTACATAAACTATAAACATTCTTGCTTGCAATTAATTCCCGCTCCGGACTTTCAAGGGAACAACATTTACAAAACAAACAACACGCAGCAGCTCTGATTCTGAGTTTTGGCAAAACCAAATGGAACTAGAATCACTCTGTTCTAAATTTAGAAATCACGGGCCTCCATTTTCAAAAGTGCTTTGTCATTTTGGGTGATTCCGCTTTTGGGTCCCCAATTCAAGACACCTTCACGGGGACTGATTTTCAGAAGTGCTGAGCCCAGGCCCTCGGAAAATCAGGTCCCTGGACTATGTTGTAAGTTGAGCACTTAAAATCACAAGTCATGTTTGAAAATTTAGGCCCATGATTTTTTGAGTGAGTTCTATGTATGACACAGCTTATATTTCCCATCCTTGCTTCCAATCCACTAATAAAAGCCAGCAATTTCAAATGTGGCATCCTACATTTAGCGATCTAAATCTAGTAAGTGGCCTCTTTCCAGTGCTATTTAGAACCTACTACAGCTACTGAAGTCCAGGGAGATACATTGGGGGTAAAACCAGTGAGAGAGAGAGGGGGGCTGGGCCCTGAGTACTCTGCAGAATATTCAGTGCCTGATGATAAAAGAGAACTCTTCCTGTGAGCGCTACATCATAATATTTGTTTGTTGCTCGTCTTCAGTAGTTTCACTACTGTGGTTCTGGAGTTGTGTGTGTATCGCGTCCAGGCAATAAGGAGCTTTGATTGGATATTACTATGTGAAATGGCAGTTGCTGATCCTACACTATCAGGAGGATTTTATAGCAAGTCACTGTCATGCAGTGGAAGCCTAGTTTTTATTGATGCCAGTAACGTTCCCCGAGAGAGACTGGATTATAAGGAGCTTAGTGCCAATGAGAGAAAGAGAAATGGATCTGTGTGAAACATTTGAATTTTGGCTTAAAATTTCCCACTGCACTGCAGTGCTTTCACCCAAGCTGCTCTCCATGATCATGTCCATGTGAGTCAGACTGTAAGCTCCCTGAGACAAGAACCTTGTCTTTTTAGATGCTTGCAAAGTACAGCCCCTCACTTGCTCCAGCCATTGGACAATGCTCCCTCTCTCATGGAGAGCAGGTGTAACTTTTTTCACTATAGACCATTTGTGAGGCGACCACCCTTTTCCAAAGCTAGGGTGACAAGGCGACAGGCAGTCAGTTCATGCTCTACTGGCTCTTCATGACAAAAGGACATTTCCGCCTGTGTGGGGCTTTTTTAAGCATGTGGCACACTGACAAAATGTGTTACGTCTTCCCCCTAGCTGAACCTCAGTG